ATATTTTTTTTTCAGCACAACGAAATATGTACATCTACACAGGCTCTGTAACACAGATCAAGGCGTTTCCGGTGTAATTTTTTAAGATAGTAAAATCTGTGAAAGTCTTAAAAAGAGATTTCACTTATACATGATAGGAAGCAACAATGGATCATTGAAGATGCTGAGGTTTTGACAGCACCGTACTGTGGCTACCACAGTATTTTACATTGGTTCGTCCGTATACAGTAGCGCCAAATGAAAGCTGTGGTGGGTTCAAAACTCAGCTATCTAAAATGATCCATTGCAGATTGAACAATTTTGTGCAACGCCATAATAAACGGGTACCATACACAAAGGATATCATAGATGGTGCGACCACACTGCATTTAGTTGGGATAATATCCTGAATTGGTGGTTAGGCGCTTCTTATGGTTATTGTTTATGCGGGCGCTCTGTAGAATATACCCTCCAATGTGGTATATTTGGTTTCACTCAGAGTTGTAAAAAATTGAGTCTTCAAATACTTCCATTGAATAGCGATACCGATACGGCTTAAGACGTATTCATTTTACCGTAATGCTGAAGCAGACGACAGTCGCTCAAATTAAAAGTCATTTGAAGTAAACACAAAACTGCGGGTTGCCAAATCTTGCAGAAAAATAAATTAGTTGGCCATGCAACCAGATTTACTTTTATTCTCTCCGCGCGTCTCTGGTCTGAACGTACTATTTAAAGGCGAATCAAACAGATAAAGGAAAAGGCAGATTATATCTGCCACCCCTCTTTACATACCAGATTGACAACTGACAGGAAGCAAACTGTCAACACGCTAAGAAACGTTAACACAAATTTGGAAAATCGATTTACAAAGATTTTAGTTTATCAGAACGTTCTCCGAGCAACATGTAAAAAAGACAAACAAGCCAAACATAAACAATGCGTTTAGACGTCGATTGTTCACGTATTACAACACGCCTACACAAACTAACTATATCATCTGATACTGCAAACTTTCTCTCACATACTGGTGTAAGTTTGCCGGAATGAGTTTATATTCACGAGAAATCGACGTTTAAAATCCCTCTCCTTGGCTAGTTTTTAACCTGGACGTTGGTGGGTGGGTCTAATCTTATGCTTCATAGTGGAGCGTTGGAGACGGTTGGCTTAGGTTCGGCATCGTTGGCTCATGCCGTGGCAGAATAGCGTCATGAGCATGCGATGAGGATTACTGAGCTTCCGCTCTGTGATGTACCACTGCATGAGAAAACCAAAGATCTAGTCTAGCAATGATAGCATCACACTTGTTACTCCTTTGTTTGAGAGCCACGTCGTAGTACGCTTACGTATAGGCACTAACGTTGGGTGCGATACTGGCGGGTTTTCCGTAAATCACTCTTATTTTATTTATTTTTACACAGATGGGTTCCCTAATAAACAAATATCATAAATGAACTGTATCCCGAATGAGTAAACTATCCCACAAATGGTTTGGATGATACCCCGAATACGTCGTTAAGCTCTCTTTTATGGTTATCTTTATTAGAGTTTGCACGGGAATTATACTATTGAAATATTTCAGAAAGCGCCAAACAGTGCTCCTTCTATTTGCGTGACAAGCTTTCATTGTTGTTTTCATTGAAGTATTACTCAGGGAACAATGTTAAACACTATTTTTGTACATGGTATTGTAACTAATCTTATATGTGCTTCATTTTGATTTGGGATAAGTGTTTGAACTATGGCTCGGGATTTCCACTGTGGCGTGCTTCTATTGTGACATACCCATACATTGTGGGACGACATAGTGGAAACGTGTGAGTGTAGTTGGAGCATATAATCTATATAATTTAAAAATCAGCTAGAAAACTAACTTTAAAGTGAAGCAATTTAGTCACTTGAAGGTGTCACCTGGGACGAACTAATATATAATAAATATAGGTCAAAATCAAAAGCAACTTGATACACGTTAAATTTTAGATTACATACACAAGTGCAGGTACTTAATAAAGCATGGGTTATAGTTGATAAGGTAGATTAGAGATTTCAATTATTTATTAATGAGATATCATAATCATCAAACGAACTTTAATAAGAAAATTTAGACAGCCTAATAACATTAAGTAGATTAACAAAAGAGTTAGGATGCGGGGGTCCGCTTAGGGAGGCAAATAGCCTTTAAAGCAACTGGCAACTAGCCTATTCATATATTGTCTGTTTATATTGAGCGTTGCTTTAAAATGTCAATTTGGTATATATGTGAAAGGATGATTCATTGGGAGATGGATTTTCGGTTTCTTTACATTTTGCAGTACTATTTGTCATTTCCTCAAAACCCCCCAATAACCGACCTCTCCAATCCCTTCCCATGGCGTTCAAGTGGTCCGCATAGACTATTCAGCCATTACTCTTCCTTTATCCTCGGCTTTGGATTGACTTGCGCTCCCATTGCCCCACCAAACGCTGCAAAATGAAAATGAAAATCAAAATGAGAAATCGACGTTTAAAATCATTGCTTACATTTGGAACACACACTTAGTTCTTTTTGCCGATATTGGCACCGACGACTAGCTCGGCATTTTATTTTGCTGGATCTCAGTTAACAACTTGCCGAGATTCAGCTTAAAAATTGGAATTTTGACGCGATCTCAGCTAAGAAACATAAATTTTGTTGAGATCTGATCTCAGTAAAAATAATTGCCAAGCTGCTCGGTGGTGCCAATTTCGGCAAAAAAATCTATCTTTGCAGGACCTTACTCAAAATAAAAAAAAAAACGATAAAGTTGAGTACAAATAATATTACATCCAAGAGGTCCACAAAAATAAACAAATGCAGTAAAAGCAGCGTAATGTCAGTTCATGCACTGTATTAATGATAATGTTGTCCTTTTTGGCAAGTAAAAGGTGAAATGGATGTAATGTCAGCCTAAATGCCCCTAATTTGGGCCCATACATAAATTCAGCAATCTAGTAAATTTTCAATAGCGACCAAAAATATCAATTAGTACCGTCCCAATGACGCGTTCATCTAGATAAAATTGATAAATAGCAGATTTTTAGCGATGGCCCCAATCTTAGATCCATAGGCCAACATTAGAGCCATTTCTCCTATTGACCATATTTTTGACACGATTGAAGTACATCCACTTTGATGTGATATCAAAACTATTTTGTTGATATTGAGATGTCAACTGCCAAACGCTCAATTTACATTGTACAAGTCACCTTTCGTGTCACTAGTGGCTCTAGTGTCGGGAAAAATCGTGGGGATTAAAAAAGAGTGGACCATACTGCTAATCAAAGAAACAAAAAGTTACTTTATAGATACATGCCAATTTTTGATGTGTACATTCTTTGAGCTTACCGCATTGTTCTCTTCGTATGCTAAGAAACTCAAGACAACTCCCTTTCTTAAATCCCTAAGCATCACGTTTCACCCGATAACCTTATATAGGGATGAGCTACCCAGTAACGCCCATTCACCCAAAGCAGACATAGCCCGCATAGAAAAGCCAAGAAATTAAAAGCAAACACACATTTTTCAAAAGACTGAAAAGGATGAAAGCATATTTTAAATTCTCACTGTCGCAAGAAAACGCGTCCCGTCCCACCTGCTGCGTCGCTTTTGAGCTCGTTCTCCCCAGGGAATCCCTTTTCAGCACTGCAAACTGTCTTCTGCAGTGCTTCCGCTTCAACACCGATATTCGAGATCGACGACGGGACGCGACGCGACGACGGATGACGGCGATGAACAAACTTTTTCTTCCGCCTGTCGCGCTTTTCAACCTGTCCAGTGTGGGTGCAAAGTGGCACTTTTTTGCCTGTTAGCTGGTGGCACACAATTTGGTGATTCTCAGCAGTGAGCAGTGAGCGCCATCGCGTAGAAAGTAGGTTGTCATTGTATTTTTCCACACTGGGGATGACGGTGTACTTTTTGGACGTTAAGTCCTATATTTCATAATCAATTGCAGCTTGAATCGGTTACTGGAAATCATTGTCGGAATCTATCCATTTTAGTTTCATGTTTGTCGCTGTTCTGGAACCAATGAGCTTCCACTTTTTCAGATATTGTATTGCGGAAGGTCATGCTCAAAAACCTGCAGTATGTACTTGGAGCTTCTTCCGATTTATGTTGACACATGACGACTCTATTTCATTGCACTTGATCTCATGATCTTTGATTATAGATATCGGAAATTAAACAGCTATATGAAATTGAAATATCAATCATACTCATTCATCCATATGAACCATAACCAACCAACCATTATAACGGAGCTCCCTAGGTCAATGCATATACAAAATAATCAAAATAATTAGACAATTTCAATTTACGGAAAGTCTCAAATTTCTTCTCCGTCCTTTCAATTTCACTCCTCAAATTGGCCCCACGCCGAAAAGGCAAAAAGGTTTTCCACACGCCACAACACATCTGCAAAGACATGACGGTACGTTTTGGCAGCAGATTTCAAAAAGCGCAACCATCACCAAAAAAAATGCCCCAAATAACCCAAACCGCCTTTGGGCTTCCGACGAAGACACCTTCCCCATCCGGAATCAAATCCTTTTCCCCTTCTTTACGTGCGGTTTAGCAAAGTTGACCGAGGATGAAAACTTTTAAGCCTCATCTTCCGCAAATCGCTTACCGGGCTTTTCTGCTTCTACTTTGCCTCATTCTTGATTGGGAACCACCGAAACCACTGAAAAATTCTTGGACAAGTGACAGTACGGTGATTATGGGCCGGGTTCAGGTCCTTTTTCGTTTTTCGCAACGATTCTACGGTAAAACGGCAGGCAACAAAAAATACCCGAAACGAAGGAAAGTTTGTAAATATGGACTCAGCAGATAACACTGTGGGTGAGGAAATTATCATCCCTGTGACTCCCACTTTTTCTCCAACCACCCCTCGGCACGTCGACCAATCTCAGGCGGAAAATGGTCCACACGTTCAAGTAAATGCTGCTGTTTTTTTTTTCTGTTATCACTTATGTTTTCTTCTCTCTTTCAAAATTTATTCCAGGCTGTTCACAACAGTGGCGTGATATCCGGAACGTTTATGAATAATGGCGCCGTGCGCTGTGGCACTTCCGTCTGCCGGCCCGTTTCCGCCATCTACACCAAGAGCCAGCAGACGAGCGGCTACGTCCATGTGGCCACCATCCCGGCGGGAGTGTACAACATCACCGTGACCGAGCTGCAGAACAGCCAGAACTATCTCGGTAAGTGGAAGAGAGGGCAGTTAATTAAAAAGCAGGAGTTTGTTTGCTGCAAGCTAATGTCCATTCGAAGGAGGGATGAAATTATCGTAGTCATGACTGCGTTGACAACAGGTGCCGCTCTGGTAAAAGGAAGTTAGATGATTTGGTTGAACTATCAGATTTTCTCAACTGAGACTAAATTTTCATTAGCGGTTGTATTTTCAATATTTTGGAAGAGCGTTTATCTTGTTTCAGCTATTTTAAGTGAACTCTAATTAGGAAACAACTGGGACTCGTACGGATATTTGCAAAATCGGCTTTTCAATATAATGATGGATCAAAAGGTAAGCTTTTGCTTTGTTCCCGTACCTACAGCGGCTAACAAATCGTGTAAGGGAATATTAGTGGCTCACATAAGTATGATGTGGGCTACATGTATGACAAAGATAAATTTTCTAGTTTAAAGCTACGTCCCAACTGATTTTTAAAGCCTGAATTCTTTGAGCGCTACCAAAGTTGTTAATTGTGAGCTTTCTAAGCCTTCGCTTTTTTTGGTTTCGTACATCGTATGTATACCCAGGGAGGTCGAATAAATGTGCAACCCTAGTGAGCTAAGTAGCTATTGGGATTATGCCACTTTAAAACAATCCTGATTAATGCTGGTGTATAAAGGGTGATACGGTCAAAATTTGGTCAATATCAACTTGACGTATTTCTTTCAATTTTGCATTTAAAAAACCTGAACACCCCTCATTTTGAAGGTGTGTGTGTGTAGAATGTTGCTCCTATTTTGATTTTGGAATTCAGTCTTCAGTTGTCAAAATGCCGTCCAAGCAAGAAGAGCAGCGCATCAACATTTTGCTCGCGCATCGCGAAAATCCGAGCTACTCGCACGCAAAGTTGGCAAAATCGCTAAAAGTTGCCAAATCAACCGTTACAAATGTAATTAAAGTGTTTGGGGAACGTTTGTCGACAGCCAGGAAGTCTGGATCGGGGGGAAATCGAAAACCGGAAGCCGCTGAGACGACAAAGAGAGTTGCCGGTAGTTTCAAGCGAAACCCTAACCTCTCTCTCCGAGATGCCGCAAATAAGCTGGGTGTAACGTCTACAACCGTGCATCGAGCCAAAAAACGAGCCGGACTATCGACTTACAAGAAGGTAGTGACTCCAAATCGCGATGATAAACAAAATACGACGGCCAAAGCGCGATCCCGGAGGCTGTACACGACGATGCTGACGAAGTTTGACTGCGTGGTAATGGACGACGAAACCTACGTCAAAGCCGACTACAAGCAGCTTCCGGGACAGGAGTTTTATACGGCAAAAGGCAGGGGAAAGGTAGCAGATGTTTTCAAGCACATGAAACTGTCAAAGTTCGCAAAGAAATATCTGGTTTGGCAAGCCATCTGTACCTGTGGCTTGAAAAGCAGCATTTTCATAGCTTCCGGGACTGGCCACCACTGTAGATCGTATTTTCAAAAACTTAATCCCAAATTTAAAGGCCACCACTATGCGTGATCACGTTTACGGGAACTAAGTCAGTAATTCATATGAACTAGCAGCAAATATATTATATTAACAATATGATCCACTCTTTCGCTTAGCTGGCGAACCAACTTTTTAGCGATGAAAACACCTCTGTGGCCAAAAAGGCTACCAATGTATTTGTTAATCGTCACGAGGGGTAAACCAAATGAAAATTTATTTTAATATTTCAAATGAATGTATTTTAGCATATTATTTTATTTGATGACAACAGTGACGTGTCAGACAAATTTTAAAGTAATATACACAATTTAATTAATGAAAATAATGTGACTCTAACTTTTGTAATAAGTGCTATATTCGCACCTTTCTATTGTAATTGAATGATTGTTGCTGACCTTTTTCAACGCTAGATGGTGCGTAAAGCAATATTTTGCGGGTTGCCATTGCAATATTTGGAAAAGGCATGAATGGATCATATTGTTAATATGATATATTTGCTGGCAGTCTAGGTTGTAATGATTTTTTGCGTGTACCTTAATTGTTTACCCTTGACGGATATGTACAATGTACAGACTTCTTCAGTGTTTTGTATAATACTTGTCTCGTACCAGCAACCGAAGTATTAAACATAGAGGTAACTCTAAGACTAGAAGGTCCCGAAATAACATGCTCAACTTTTTCAACGGTCCAAAGCTTATCGATTCATCCTACGAAACATAGGAAAAACCAATAAACCCTCATTTTACCTGTCAAACTTTCATAGCGAATCAAAACAAACATTGCGTAGTACTAGAATTTCGACTAGAATGGGGTACGTTAATCGTTTGCTTGGGACCAATAGGCTAGTCAAGTAGTGAGCCAATTTTAAATCGTTAGTTTCGTATTGATTGTTGGTATTAGTACAAGACATTGAAGCATTCTGTACATTGTACACGGCCGATGTGACTAAGTCAGAATCGTAAAAAGTGGGATTTATGTTACTAATTATGAAGCAAAAGTCACGTTTACTGAAAATGGAGGAAATTAGAGAAACTTAGCTAAAAAGAGTAATATAAACCCGACTTCTTAAGATTTGTTGTTATACAGATCGGCCGTGTAGACGAAATATGCATATCTGTCAAAGATAAGCAAAAAAGGTAATGGAATTAAATGGAAATTGCTAATCCTTCTCTCTTGAACAGCCAAAAAGATTGTTAGACACGATTTGAAGTAAGATTACGAAATCGACAAGCATGTGACATCGGTGTCGTTTCAAATATTTTGAAGATGGGTTGAAAAACAATCAACACGCAGGGAATTGTTTTTCATCATTAATGTATTTGATGAGGCTCAACCGAATTATCTTTACAGAGCCGAGGATTCTTGTTCACTATACAAAACATCTTAAAGCTATAGTCAAAAGGTACAACACAATAAACACTTTATCTTCCGCTATCCAAAAAGCCTCTTCCATCAGAACGGGAGCTGCTTCCAGTGATTTCATTGTATGGCCGCTTCACCAAAGGGGGTCAGAGCGCTTCCATTGCAGCAATGGACGCAAAACGTGGTCAGTACTCACACTTTCATCACGAAACGGTTGCTTTCCAAAGTCGACGATGCATCGACCGAAAGAACTGCTGATGAAGAACAATGAGGAGGACCACACAATGGTTGCTGCCGAGTAAACAGACGATCGCGAAACACACATTGAGAGTGGCTTGCTTCTGTCGACAGCCTAGTGAACACTAAACAAAGATGGAATGACAAAGAGAATAAATTTGTTTAATATCACAAAAGATTATTTTTTTTTTGAGAGACTACTAACTCCACATGACCTAAAAGGAAGAGGAGACAACTGGCTCCTTTTTGTCTGTGACATGCTAAAGTGGGCACTATGGAAGGCGATATTTACGATCGACAAATCGCCTACAACGAATTTTTCTTCATTTATCGTCAGCAGTCACTCGCCAGCTGGCAAAATAAATAGAGTAAAGGGAGTTTGGGACGATGACTTTATTCGGTCATCCCTAAGGTGTCGAAGTATCCTTGGTTCAAAGGGTTGGAGGTGGGTCGATACTTCATTCGTGTGATGTCTCGCCTCATGTGTAATCACTATTCGCTAAGCGCTCACTTGTTCCGTGTTGGGCTTAGAGACAGCAATCTTTGTGAATGTGGACAAGGTTACCAGGATGCAGATCACATTATTTGGTCATGTGTTCCAGTTGGGATATTTTGGCTAGACGCGACCTGGCCTTATGCAACTGATACATGTTTTCATTAAGAATATTAACCTTAGATGGTATGTGTGATTAAACTTGTGTTTAGTTTGTATTTTGTGTGTGTGTATGTATTTTTTTTTGTATATTTGTTACTGTAATAATTGTATAACTACAGAGTTTATATAACGTTGATAGGATTAAGTACATGTTTTAGAAATAGTGAAATTTTTGAATCATAAATCATATTCCAAATCTCTTTCTCCCTCTCCTGATCCATACAATTTTCATCCACTAACCTAGAGAAGACCGCGAGTAATCGATTCAAATCCTTTAATTTTAGATTTAAGATATTAATAATGTATAACGAAAATGATAACTGTAAAGTTTATACGATTGAGCCTGTACAAATAAAGTAACTAACCAAAAAATCAAGTGTAAAATTGAATTGAAACTACAACTTTTAAGCCTACAAGCACTAAATTATCGTACAATTATTCAGGAAATCAAACGGTGTGAGCCCCGTCTTATGGTAGTTTATAGATTGGCGTCATTAATATTACACGCAATATAGGGTAAAATTGAGTTTTGCAGTGGTCGCCACATGGTAAACTTCGCAGCAACTGATTCATTAGTTAATTGTACAATAGTTAAGTACATAAAGTTTAATATTTTGTCCGTCAAATTCTGCTTTCCGAGTGATTCATCTTGTTTTTATAAGCCAAGGGGAAATCGGGTAAAATTTACCACTTATTGACGTCTGACCAAAGTAAAACTAGCTCTATTTAACCCCCAGCTCTTTTTAAAAGGATAAAGTTCACGTTTGCTCAATCTAAGCGCACCAAGTTCAGTTTCTGGATGATAATTATATTTTTCTTCCAAAATTAGGAGTAAATTGGGCAAAAGTGATCACTTCTCGAAGTCAAGCCTAATCGGGCCATCACCAATCGGTTCTCCAATTAATCATTTTGTTCGACCATTTTCCACAGAGATGGCGCTGTTCCGCTGGTAGGAAGTGATAAAAATCCCCATATAGAAATTGAGAGAAGTGGGAATAATTCGCTTTCGGTGCATATTCAGGTGAGAAAAAGTGAACGACAACCTAAAGAAATTAATCAGGGATTTTGTCGTTCAGTTTTTTTTTCGGAAATTATACAGTTTTACCTGTTTACTACCAGTTCCCAAAGAGCCAAAAAAAATTAAATTTGAGAGAGAAAATTTGCTCTCACGACCTCAATCACTCAACATGCCATGTATTTTGTTGACACTCGATTTGTGATTTCCCTTTCACAGATTATAAAATAGGGTATCTGACACTACAAAACATGTCTGGTACCT